GTACCCTGTGTGCTCCCGAAAGGGGGCGCGCGCTTCGAAGCGCGTCTCGCCACCACCCCGGAACTGTACCCTGCCACGCTTCGCTGTGGCACATTGTGGTTGCATTGATGAGAAATGAGGAACAAAACTGACCCGAAAAGTAGATAAAAGCCATCTTTGAAGCGGGTTGTATATCGTGTCCAAATTTGAGCACAATCGGTGCAGAACTTTTCGGCTTTTTAAAGCGTTCACAAACCGACATAACATTTTTATAAATATAGACTGCACTTTTCTATAAAACAATGTAATTTATTTTAAGTTAAAGCCTCCCTTCACACTAGCGGTTGTGTAATGTAGGCGTTCGATAAAGTATACGTAGTGAATCAGTGCAAAGCCTAATTCGCTTGTTCTCTTCAGCCGCTTGGACGATGTATTAGCACGCCGCATACATTATTATCACGTGTGTGTCACGTTGTCGCGACGTGTCAACAAAGGCTAGTGTAAATGGGGCCTAAGAATCTCTATAAAAGGTTCCTGAGTTAGCGTGTAGCGCAAAAGTATTTTGTTTTGTTGATGCCTAGTATTTTTTGGTACTTAGTACTTATTTGCTTTAGCTGTAATGTATTGCTGTTACTTAATTTCATGTCTATTCATTTAGTTATAAATTAAACTATCAATGCATTAAAAATAATCCTTTTTAATAAAATAAAAGCTTTCCATATTTACTAAACTCAATTGTATATTTCGAGATTGCTCGATAAAGAACTGTGTGTCTCGAAACTGGTCGAGAATTCTCGAAATACACAACTTAAGTGACAGATAAGTACATTTTAACACAGATTGATATTCCTATAATATAGTCATGTGAAGGTCAGTTAATTATTTCCTGGTGGATATGAAATTAATATAATTATGTGTTTGCAATAGGAAATATTGAAATGGAATATAAATTAGTTCAGGCGTTATTACTCTTTTGTTTGGCTGTGAAACAGCTTACTTGTATAGCAATAAAAGTGATATTTTAATGATTTTGTTTTTTTACTCGACTACGCTAAAAGGTGACCCACCCTTTTTTTTCTTTTTTTTTTTCCGTGCGGAAATCCCCTCGTATACCACCTGTCAGTGGTATGTCGGACTCGAACCGACTAAAACCGCACGCCGTGGGGAACCAGGTATACCCTAGAAAGGAAGTCCCTGGTGCCCCGACATACCTCGGGCCATCTACAACAACAGGTAGACGACCCCCCCCCCCCCCGTGTGGGAACCCCATGTTCCCTCTGCTCCCTGGAAGCGAGCGCGCTTCGCAAAAGCTCGCCGCCACCCCGGCCTGCTTCTGCTAGGGTGACAGATGGCCTCACCTGTCGCCCCCAGGCCTGCGCTTATGGAGGACGGGGGTCGTTCTGCGACCTCCGGCGCCTGAGTCGCCTGCGGTACCTGGCCCGTTCCCGGGCCTGGTGGGTCGCAGAAGGAGACGGCAGAGTTCCACGCACTCTCGCCGGAGGTTGAGTCGACTCGACTATATGTTGTATCTTACGGAAGTTCACTGACTTCCTTGCCGCCAGCTATCTTGGTCGGCTTCAGTCAATTGAATTTCATTTGTCATTTCTTTTTGGTAAGAATAAGCTAGTCGGTCGTCGTCTTCGACATCATCATCGACTGCACGAATAGCGTGGTGGTTAAAGCGGCCACCTTGCCGTTTCTTACTGCGCTGATTGTTGTAGGTTCGATCCCCACATGGGACAACACTTTGTGTGATTCACAAAATTGTTGTTCCTAGTCTGGGTGTCCTTTGTGTCCGTTTCATGTATGTTTGTAAAGTCCCACGCGACACAAGATTTATTCCTGTTGCAGTTGTCTTTTAAAAATAAACAAAAAACAAAACAAACCTTCAATCAAGGCTACTTCATCATCAGCACCATCATCGTCATAAGGGTTTAGACTGGTTTTATGGCCGGCCACGTAATGTAATGAGTTCCCTCTCATCACATCATACTCTCAAGAATGGCAGTGAGAATCTTCTTCTTCCGAGCCTTTTTCTCAAACTAGGTTGGGTTCGGCCTTAAGTCCACTATGATACGGCTGAACTTCGATGTTTTACGTGGAGCGACAGCCATCAGACTTCCACAACCCAAGTATTAGGCGATACCGAAGTTCTGTAGGAAGACGAACTGAAAATGGCGGTGTGAGTCGTCGATAAATAAAAACACAGAACATAGCAATTTAAATTCATTTAATCAATCTCAATAGTAAATCGACTCATTCACAAAATCACAGTTTGTTATTAATAACTACGTTCTACTATATATGTCTAAAAGTTATTTATTGTCTATGAGCAGCTGCATTATAAATATTGCTAAAACTTTAAGTTATCCATTGGTACCCATGAAACATCACTTTTGACCAGGTTGTGAAGGTCTGGAGATGATCTTGAGGGCTGAACCAAAGTTTATGGTTTTGATTTCCACCCAGTACTAATAATTCTGTGATGGTTACCATCATTTATTGTGTCTGGGTGTAAATTAACCATAAAATATTATATAAGTATACCAACTGAAAAGCGCTGCCTTAGTGGTGTAGTAAGGTACGCGACTGCAGTTCATGAGGCCTCGGGTTCGATACCCGGACCGGGCAAAATTTTATAGGGTTTTTCTGAGAGGAAAAATAGCCTAAGTTACTCCCTATACAGACAGCTACCTGGTAGTAAAATATTATCAAAATCGGTCCAGCCGTTTTGAAGATTACCCGTCACAAACAGACGGACAGAAAAAAAATGATTGAACTGGTGTTAAGGTGTTTAGAAAAAAACCTATTATTTTGACATTGCAAACAGACACTTCAATTTTATTTATTTATATAGATAGTCTGGTTACCATAGGACGGGCTTAGCCCAATTTGGAACTAGACAGCAGATGTGTGTTTTAGACGATTTAAAAAAATATTTAATATGATATGGTTACAACAGTATTCTCAGCAATGTGTCTACCGATACCATTTCAACTTTAAATGATTACACATTTATCACAACACAACGCAGTTTATTGGGAATTAAGAACTTTTTAGTACATTATTAAGTATTAGTATTAGTATATATTCGGACTGACTGCAGGAATTACGAGTATTGGCTTAATATGAAATAATAATGTCGTATGTACTCTCAGCGCCAGCGTGTGAAGAAATGACAAAAATACGCATATAATAAGACCTATTTCTTAGCGTTTCAATGATTCACCGTGCGGTCGCCGGGTCCATCGCGTGATAGATGGGGGCAACACATGCGACTTCGACAGCGCCTGGCAATTGCTACCCAGGGATAGGTTTAAGGAGTACTCCTTGCTACGCGTCAGCGCTCACCTTCACTGTCTGCTGTGTTACCCCACCATATTTGATATGAGCTTACTGAAGCTCTTGGCAATCCAAGGTCTATAGGTAGGTTATAGATTGATTTAGCTGGTATACCCCTCGCACCCACTTCCACGGCATTAAGGGTGGAATTTATGAAAAAAAAAATGATATCGTAATCTGATTTTTTTTTATAAAAAGTCACTGAATATTATTTTCAAAAAATATTTGTATATTATTTTTTTCATCACTACTATATTTTCCAAGAGACTGATATGTCTACACACAATATACAAAAACAAAACATTCAACAACGACAAAATCCTGTTTACTTGTTGTGCCCTTTTTAAATAAGGCTCAAGTTGCATGCACTGACCCTATTCACTTTAGGGTCAGTGTATGCATTATCAAAATTTCTTGTTTAAAAAAAATATATTAAAAAGATGCTCATTATTCTTCATAATAATTGAGTAATTATGGACGTTTCCATAACTCAATTAAATTTTAAGTCTTTCTCATCTTTATCAGTAAAAACATGTGGATATAAGTTTATAATGGAATGTCAACATTTAAACTTAACACAACTTAACTAAATTAGATCATGCAGCTTCGCTATGTATAATTAATTTGTTTAATAAAATTTCACTGGATAGCTCAAATAACATAATGTTAACAAACAATGTAATGTAACAAATTGTACGGTCATAATGACGCATTCACTACTTTGGATTGTAGATTTTAATGGTGGTATTCGATCTTTTTCGTTCTTCTTTCGCGTTATTGTTGTTAAACCAAAATCTTTCAAAATGTAACTAATCTTAATAAATAAACTTTAATTATTTATTTTTCTGTCATTATTTCTTGTGCTTAATTTAAATAATATTATATTTTAGGACCGCAATTGCTAAAAATGAATTTCAACAGAAGACAAATGATGGAGAAAAATTAAGACTCAAAAAGAACGAATATTTACACAGACATTCGAAATTCAAATAAAAACTATGGAACTGGTACATTCTTTTTTGAATATCGAATACTTCCTTAAAAGGTGAAAAACAAATTGTCTACGTGCGTTTTGAACCAAAAAACAACTAAACGTTTTGTTAAATAATTCCAAAAATGAAATAAATAATATCTAATATCTGCGACAACACAGAATATTGAAAGAAAAATTACTATATTATGACATACATGGCCATTTCGCTATGTAAATATTGTCGTACTTGTCACTGGTAACGTAATTAGGACTATTTACATAACCAATAAATAAATATTTACATTCAACTCTAAATCGTCACTAAAATAAAACATAAAATAATCCGTCTTATCCCTGTAGTAAGCAACAATTACATTTTATAAATCACAAACATAATTAAACTTAATCTCTATTACGTTAAGGTAAGTTTCTGATTAGCAGAAGAAATCAGAAAATTTTCACGTCCTAACTTATATAAAAATAACATAGACCAATCAACTAACAGATATCTCTAGATGAGCGTGATTTTTACTCACTACAATATCATGGGAATGTAATATTATCTCTCTCTCTCTCTCTAACACTATATCTACACTACTTGCAATCTCTTTTTAATATAATTCTAAACTCCTCTACCATACCGCATTGTCAACGTTCTATCTCTTTTGTACGCTAATATGGCTAAGTGACATGTCACGTGGTATGGCTAAAACTTTGTAGTGACGGTACGCTTCTCATCTTTGACACCGTTCACTCCATTCATTCCGTTGCCGTTTAATTTTGGAATGTTCTTCTCGTTCAGTGAGCTATGTTTCAATCCGTAGAAGAAATATATCAGGTAGCCTGGAAAGGAGAATTAAAAAAAAAACTGATAAAGACAAAACTTCCATGCTTTCGAGAACAATTTGAACACTTGAATAATTTAAACTAAACTTAAGTATGTTTTTGTTTAATGACAACTCCCGCGCATCCCCCCAACATTTATTTAAACGGACACAAAGAATTTGTGGATCATTCAAAATGTCATGTCAAAATGTGGGGATCGAACCCACAACACTGGAAGCGGCGAGATTACCGCTTATGTAATATATTAAAAGATTGTTGCCAGTAACAAAGGATTAACCAGCGTCGTTTAGGTGACTTTTCTACTACCCATTAAACTGAATTCTCAACTTACCAATAACAAGCCAGATGATGAATCGCACCCAGGTCTGGTAGTCGAGCTGGACCATCAGGTATATATTCATACACATACTTAGATAAGGGACCAATGGAACTAGTGGCACCTGTAGAAAATAAAACATGTTAATTAATAAATTGTATTAATTAAACGATATACTTTCAAAATTAAAAATGTAAGGATTGCCGATATCCCGGTATTTCCGGACCGATACGACCTTCAAACCTTGAAGAAAAGAGCGTACTACTTCCTCAGAGGCTGGCAACGCGCTTGTGACTCCTGAGTTGCAGGCGTTCATTGGCGGTGGTAGTCGCTTTCCATCAGGTGACCCATCTGCTCGTTTGCCCCCTACTCCATAAAAAAAAATATAAAAGTGAGTCCACTGACCGCGAAGGAAAGCCCAGAGACGTCATTCCTCGGCTGTCGGTACAACACGACCAGCAGCACGAGCAGCGCCGCGCCGAGCACGCCGAGGGCGACGCTCCCCGTCTCGCAGCGGAGAAGAATGCACGTCACCAAGGCCAAGCCGACTGTAACATCACAACTCACATTTTTAACCTGTAATCTGTTATTACCGTGGGAGAGTCATGACACTTGTGACATGACAGGAATTCTACTTCCCCTGATTCTGAGGGGGCTCAAAGGCGATAACGTATTTGACACTTTTGAATTGTAAGGTACTTATTATCAGGTAACCCGCTTGCTCGTTTGCCTTCCTATGCCATAATCATCATCATCAACAGCTTTTAATAGTCCACTGCTGGACATAAGCCTCTCCTTAGAAGGAGGTATTGGCCTACTATACCACGCTGGCCAGACGGGTTGGTATAGGGTTTGTGTCAAGTTTTCCTTCTCTCTGCAGTGCTGTTGTTCTGCGTAGTTTTCTCCCTTAGTCGGCTTTTACGACACCCACTGGATGAATAGGGGTGGTGACACTTTGTATTCTTAATCCGTCACCACACGGATCTAACAAAAAACTAAAAGTCAAGCCAGAAATATCGTCGATAATTTGGTCCACAGATAAAATATACGAAGCAAAAAGCTTCTTATAAAGCAACAATCGAATAATCGTGTTTTTTTTTAAATAAATCTATAATAAAAATAATATTCATAACATTTTTGTACCTTCTTTTGTCCAAAATGGGCTGATTGATGTTACGAAATTATTAGATACGTACAACAACTGTATCTTCGCAATCAAAACAATAAAGAAAAAAAGCCGTGTGGTGTCGTAGGACACCCGATAGGAACGAAGTTGTGACGATCGAGTAAAACTGATTCGACACGATTTTAATTACAACGCCATCTATGAAAGCGGCTATTACCTACATATTTTTCAGTTGGTTTCTAATTAAAACAATTTATACATTGGTAAAATCTCCTTGAGAAATGATGTCGAATACAATATTTTTCGCTCAACCTAAGAACATAAATTTTATTTTACTGAGATGAAAAGTAATGATTTCCTATCTATTCGATAGATGGCGCTGAATGACTGACAAGTGACAATTCAAAATAAAAAATGAGAGTGTGAGATTTTTTTCCGTCTTACACAACGCGCGATAAGGAACTTCGTTTCAATACATTACTTTTATCAGTTAAATAACAGTCTACACAATAAAGTATATCTGAAATTGCTATATATACTTACAAACGATTAACATGGTAACTTTAGCGATACTAGATGACAGTTGTGATGGGTATTTGATGCCGAGCAGATTGAACAGTTGTTTGCCTACTTCGTACGGTGTTTCTGGAGCTGGTTTAGTGCCTTGTAATTGGAGGTCCTGCTGTTCTTCGTATCTGGAAGAAATATATTTTTTTTAATTCTTCGCTTACAAATACACAGATATTGTTTGTTTTGTGCTGGAAATGCGCTAGAATCAGTACAACACAAGCATTATAGAAAAAAATCTTAAGGATATTTCCATTCATGCCCTAAATTTTTGTGTGCCATTCTTGACAAGCACTCTTTCGTACTATCTCAAAAGAAAACTAGTTTTCCATATTTACATCATTGGTACTAAAAGTTTTATCTCAAACTACTTACAAAAACACAAAATTACTGATATAAATTTTCGTCACAACTTTTGTGTCAGGTTTTTTAATATTTGCATAATTATTCTGTTACTCGAGGTGAAGACAAAACCAAAAAATTGAACATCATAAAAATCGATAAAGTAGTTTTGAGAATAACTCACAAACAGTTATTTTCACACAGTTGTAAGGTACTTTGATTTTATACTCCAATAAAATGTTTTCTGTTAATTTTATTTTGTTTTGTTCGGAATACCAACAGTACAAGTAACGCAAGGTAAAACATTACAATAAAGTAACAACGAAGCTATTCACAGGTGTTCGCAAATAGATTCCAAGTGTGTATTAATTAAATATGACGGAACAGCTTCTGATATTAAACAATATCAATAAATATGACGGAACAGCTTCTGATATTAAACAATATCAATAAAAACCTTGATGGTTGCGTCACTATTTACGTAACGCGAATGGACAATAGATTCTTAACTGTCTTATTGGTGATCTTCGAATTAAACAGATCTCAATAAGTACTCGTAATCTTCTGTACTCGTAGATATATCAAAACCATTGGCTAGTTATGTTAGTAGTAACAGTGAAGTTCAACCCTTACCTGAGTATGAGCACGCTGATAGCAACAATAGTGTACGCGAGGAGGGTACCAATAGACATCATGTCTATCAGCTGATCCAGGTCGAATATTGTCGCCATACTTGCTGTGGAAAATAATAAAATAACACTTTATAAACACGCGTGAAAAGGTTGATCAGAAGTTTAAGCTAAAATAATAGTGACCGCTTGCACGAGATTAAGCGGTCACCTCGCTGCTTCTTATTGCGCTGGGTATTGTGGGTTCGAACCACACATGCGACAACACTTTGTGTGATCCACAGATTGTTGTTCTAAGTCTGGGTGTTTTTTTGTATCCGTTTGAATGAATGTTTGTAAAATCCCCACGACGCCGCAGGATGTATGCTAGTGCGGGAGTTCTCTTTTTATAAAGAACTAGCTGACCCGCGCAACTTCGTCTGCGTCTCTCAATAGTAATAAATTTTCTCCGTTTTTGAAACATTCTTCATTGGTGCTCCGCTCCTATTGGTCTTAGCGTGATGATATATAGCCTATAGCCTTCCTCGATAAATGGGCTATCTAACACTGAAAGAATTTTTCAAATCGGACCAGTAGTTCCTGAGATTAGCGCGTTCAAACAAACAAACAAACAAACAAACTCTTCAGCTTTATAATATTAGTATAGATAATAAAAAGGGAAGTATATTAAGTTTATGGAACTACAAAATGCCTAATTTTTTTATTTATATAAGTTTATGTAGTCGCAAAAAGGTTATAAAACTAGGCGATTGATAATAGGAGCGTGAGGGAACATACAGGGAGGGATTTGTAATAAGAATGAAATATTCATAATAACTGGACGCTTTTTACTCAGCCATCGGATCCTAAACTAGACTGCTAATAAACACATTTATATATGAGAAAAAACACACATTATATTATACGTAAATTACAACCAGACACATCATATCGTCATCATCACATCACATCAACAGCCTATAATAGTCCACTGCTGGAAATAGGCCTTTCCTTAGAATGGAGGTTTTGGCCTACTATACCACGCTGGCCAGACGGGTTGGTATAGGGTTTGTGTCAAGTTATCCTTCTCTTTGCAGTGCTGTTGACATTCCATATTCTTAATCCGTCACCACACGGATACCCAGACACTGTAAATTTTTTTTTTTTTGTGTGGGAACCAAACCCATTACACCTGAGTGGTAGTAGGTAGGAAAAACACCTATCATAAATATATATCATAAATATGGAATTCTATTTATTTGCAAGAAATGGTTTAGAAGTCATAAATTACATAATTAAAAGAATTACCTGCTAAAAGGCCGCTGAGTGCTGTTGCCAGCAACGGCGTTTTAGTTTTCGCATGGATAATTGAAAGTGGCCTGAAGAGTACTCCGTCACTACCCATGGCATAGAGCACTCTTGGGAGAGGAAACATGGCGCCCAGCATGGAGGTGCAGAGAGCGAATATCGCGCCAATGGTAACAATCCATTTGATAGCGGGAAGGTCGACCACGGTGAACACGTACGGAAAGGGAGCTTTGGCGTCCTGTAAAGTAAACAATTATTATTCAATTAATTTATTATAGTATTTAAAAAAAAGGATGATATTTTAACATGTGAAGACAGTTTCCGTCTGTAATCTTAGGTTGTGAACGGCTAGAGACATTTATACATATAATAAAAGAGTAAAAAAGTTTCTTCACGTTAAACTTGTTTTAGATATTTTAACTCAGAAAACCCATAAAACAATAAAAAACAAAGAATCTGGATTTTTTGTCGGTCTGTATGTTATGCCATCACGCAAAAACTAAAATCATCATCATCATCAGCCTATCGCAGTCCACTACTGGACATAGGCCTCTCCCATAGCACGCCACTTAGATCGATTTTGGGCTCCTCGCATCCAGCTCCTGCCAGCCCACAGGCCAGGTGGAGTGACGATTTGCGCTAAAACTACCGAACGAATCTAAATGAAACTTGGCACAGTGATATGGATACTTAGCGATAACATCTACAATAGCTTTTATCCCGAAAAACTGAGAAAAAAATAATTACTTCAATGTTTTTTGATGCATATTATTATCGGCTATTTAGCGAAATGTTCGTAACCATTGATAGTCGAGTGGTTAAAGCGTTCAACTGCAAGCAGGTAGGTGTGAGTTTGAGACCCTCTTAGTCCATGGGTTTTTTCTCTGTTATTATGTACTTTTGTTATTTCCATGGCATTTTAAAATATATATTAAAAAACTTTTAATACAAGATATTGATTGGCTGTTAAAACAAAATTATGGACATTCTGCCATAATTCAAACATGCGGAAGTAGGAATTGAAATAGTTTTATTTGTGAATTTTATGTTATTTATGAATTCCTCATTGTTTGTTTAAATGACAATAGTTGACATAATATTTTCCCAGATATTTGTGTCCCGGAAGTAGTTCATTGTTGTGTGTGTCTTCGTCTTCAATATTAGTCGATTTTTTTAATTCATTACCTGCGTCGGAGCTTCCTTCCCATGTATTAAATCTAAAAATCGGTGTGCTTATTATCATACTGCGTAACTTAAGTCTACCAATCTATGCAATGAGACACGGCTTAAAGTAAGCGGAACCTTAACAGGATGTGGTGTTTAATTCCGTCCCTGCAATTTTTATTTATAAACTAGATTCTATCCCGTAAAGGAAGCTATAAGCTGGTTTTAAAATACTCCAATACGTAGTTGTCCAGCGATATACGACAAGCCACTGAGACTAGACCCTTGGCCAATAATAGTGCCTACATATTTTATAAAAGTTAAGTCATAACTCAAGAACCTTGCAAAGTTCAAGTATAAAATATATTAAATTTCTAAGTGCCAAACATTTTTTAGGGTTTGTGGTAGTTTCAGATTTAGATTAATCACGACACGAATACGATTATTAGTCCCTCAATTATTATTATACCCAAAACCAAACACACGTACGGGCACAGTAAGTTACGCAATAAGGCCGCTTTTTGTAGATTATCGATGCTAAACATTTCATGTTTTATATTCTTCTATAAAACCCTAGTGCACAAATTAAAAATGTCTACTAAATGTCAAGTGACTTAATTTTGTCGTAAAAAGATTGTGACGTCAAAACTTCACGCGAAGATGCATGTTGAGGAAAAACAAGAGTTAATATCTTGTTCCATTGACCTAATGTGTTTTACAGCCTTGGCCTTTTAGCACTACCTTTTGAATATAAAGTAATAACAAAATTTTCTTTAAAATATCCTTAGCTTACCTGCAAATAATACGGCAGCATCATGGTCAAGACCGTCGCAACACTGAAGTAAGAGAGGAAGACGACCACTAGTGACAGAATAATGGACAGGGGGATATCCCGCTTTGGGTTCTTGGCTTCCTCTCCTGTAGTCGCCACACAGTCGAACCCAACGAAACCGAAGAAGCATTTAGCAGCGCCAGCCATTATACCAGCCATGCCAAACGGTGCGAATCCACCGTTACCGGCAACAGCTTTGTATTCGTCAGGAATGTCGGCCGGATCGATTCTCCAGTTAGCAGTATTGCCTGTAAAAGAGTAGATATAGGTAAATAAATATCTATATAGATATAGGTAATATATATTATATCACTAAGAAGACAGTGTTTAATTAAGTATTCTATCAGTCAATCTAGTTTTCAATGTACAAGCTCTGCTTAGTTTGAATCCAGATGGCGTTATGTGTGTATTATTATATTATTCTCTCGGTATGTAAATGGAGAAAAAATAAGTAAGAATTACCATGAAGTTATAGTGCACAAGACGCTTTGTAGATAAATTATTTTTAGTAAATATATATATAATATCCGTGTGGTGACGGATTAAGAATACGGAATGTCACCACCCCTATTCATCCGGTGGGTGTCGTAAGAGCCGACTAAGAGAACAAACTACGCAGGACAACAGCACTGCAAAGAGAAGTAAAACTTGACACAAACCCTATACCAACCCGTCTGGCCAGCGTGGTATAGTAGGCCAAAACCTCCTTTCTAAGGAGAGGCCTATGTCCAGCAGCGGACTATTATAGGCTGATGATGATGATGATGACATATATTAAAAGAAATCATCGACCAAGGTAGTACAAGAACTTAATTGAACTAAAACTCTAGACACGAAAACCGGATCAGCCATATTGAGCTACGATTTAATAGACAAATATACGCATACACATGTTCTTTTAGGAATCATGTTGATGAGAAACAACATACCAATCAACTTGTTGGTCAGAGATTCGTTTCTTAACCTTGCCAACCCTATTTGTTTTCCCTTTGAAATGCTCCCATTTTTCCCATCTAGTCCATAAAGTCACTGCTGAATGACAATAGGGTTGCCCCTTCTGGGGCTAAATAGCCGCAAGTGCATACATGTATATATCAACTTTGTAAATTACCCTTTTTTTTTTATTCCGTGCGGAAATCCCCTCGGATACCACCTGTCGGTGGCATGTCGGACTCGAACCGACTAAAACCGCACGCTGTCTCGGGTGCTAATAGCCGGGGAACCAGGTATACCCTAGAAAGGAAGTCCCTGGTGCAGTAAATTACCCTGATTCATGAAACCAATTAGATACACCCACATTGGACTTGTATCTAAAGTCTTTAATATAGAATTTGCATGATTTTATCGGCAAATTGAATAAGTCCTTAACATCAGCACTCACTGGAATATTAACAAACAACTTGGTGTTTGCAAACGCCAACAGGACTTACCAGTATTTAGTGTAACAGAGAAAGTGGTGAAGTGGAAACACAGGCTTGCCGTGTCCGTGAGTTATTACCGTGTTTTAGCAACAGGCTTGTCAGAAGAAAGTAAACATCATTCGTATTTGTACAGACAAATCTTCACATTTCTCTTGAACCCCCATTTCGAATTTATCTATAATTTCTATAACAGTTCAACGGAATGTTGTCTAGTAATTAGCTACTAAGGGAAAAGAGGATATGTTCCACGTAGGAAATGTGTTCACTGTATCCTTTGGATGTTTGTAAAGGGTTTCACTTGTACTGTGAGGACACAGGGCCTTCGTCTTTAGAAAGAAATGCAACTCTGAAAGTCAATTCTCGCAATAAAAATTCGTTTAAAATTTAAGTCCAATTTTAGCGAATACCGAGTTAACTTTCGGTCACAATCACATTACAGCCAACGTTGGATGTTTTTATAACATTTGTATGATCGATATTAGATCGGTACTGAATTCTGAACTCATTTTTATTACGAAAATCCACCTTCAGAGTATATTTAGGCATTAAAAATTGTGCTAGTACACAGGCACTGACGTATCACACAATAAAGAAATATTTTGTCTATTACATACATACATGTGTATGAATAAATTAATAAACCTAATTTCCTAATTAACCAAGTCCGTGTGGTGACGGATTAAGAATACAAATTGTCACCACCCCAATTCATCCCGTGGGTGTCGTAAGAGCCGACTAAGGGAGCAAACTAAGCAGGACAACAGCACTGCAAAGAGAAGGAAAACTTGAAACAAACCCTATACCAACCCGTCTGGCCAGCGTGGTATAGTAGGCCAAAACCTCCTTTCTAAGGAGAGGCCTATGTCCAGCAGTGGACTAGTATAGGCTTGATGTGATGATGTGATGAATTTAATAATTAAAGTATCAATTGAAGTAATTTGAAGACGATTTTTAACATATTTTATTTACATATGTTGTTTAATCACTCTAAACTAATACACACTGTAAACTTGAAATGTTTATCTATGAAAACACTCAACATTCTATCAGTTAATCCTGCTATACTTGTATCAGTTACCTATAATCGTGTGCAATATTGAAGCAATATTATAAATATTTTAACTTCTAATCATAAAACTATAAAGATGTTAAATTCTGATTAATTTAGGTCAATGACATCTATACTATCCATACTAATATTATAAATGCGAAAGTATGTTTTTCTGTCTGTTACTTGTTATAGTTTGAGTACCGGGAAAGGACATAGGATATATTTTATCCCAGAAATCGTCCTTAAAAGGGGTGAAAAAGGGGGTGGAAGTTGGTACGGGGAACCGCAACATCGATTTAAATGAAAATTGCTATGAAGATGATTTGATTCTTGAGGAAGGATGTAGGCTACTTTTTGCCGTGTTAACCCACGGACACGCGGACGGAGCCGCGTGCAAAAGCTAGTACACAATAATTTTATGAGAGACTAGCTGATCCGCGCAACTTCGTCTGCGTCTCTCAATAGTAATAAATTTTCTCCGTTTTTGAAACATTCTTCATTGGTGCTCCGCTCCTATTGGTCTTAGCGTGATGATATATAGCCTATAGCCTTCCTCGATAAATGGGCTATCTAACACTGAAATAATTTTTCCAATCGGACCAGTAGTTCCTGAGATTAGCGCGTTCAAACAAACAAACAAACTCTTCAGCTTTATAATATTAGTATAGATAAAACAGCAATCTATAACTTGTGGTTTCGAATAATAAAACTGGATATCCATAACCTAATTCTTGTTCAATTAGAACTCTAACTAAGCAATAATTAAGAGGTGGATATACGAGTTTGATATTAAATATTTATTTATTTATCCATCATGCACTTGTGGTGCATTAGCGGACTTAATGCCTGAGGCATTCTCTGCCAGTCAACCTTTGGTGCAGAGAGAACAGGAATTAGGTGCATTTTAGTTAAAGTTTGTAGTTATAATATCAAATACGCGTACATAAACCTATAATACACATTATACATATACCTAAATACAAATAAACTTAGATAAATACCCACATAACTAAATAAATACCAATAATAATAGTAGATAACAATCTATATATAATATTATAAAGAAATATCAGCATTTCACGGTCGCTAAATACCTCCACAAGGAGTGATTTCGACATTTATTATACCTGTTGGGATGTACGGATCGCGGGTAATCGTTATATTAAGCACATGTTAGGGTAAGTGTGTCGATTAGGTAAAGACAACTGTCGCGTCATGTAGATTAGCAATCAAGACCTAACCCTATTTATTAGTTGCAAATCGGTACTTACATATGTTCTTAAAGTAACTACAATATTGTAGTATGGATGAATGAAGCGTCAAAAGGATGTTTCCTTCATCCGTCAACCGACCTAAATGTGATCATGTCTAACGGGCAGCCCAACATTTGTAGCAAGTTGTAAAATGAGTAAACATATGCGGGGGCATAAGGCATTTAAGGAGCAATACTCTACTCGTTGATAAGAATATTCCTACCAAATTTCAAGTCTTTAGCTCAAGTGGTTCCAGAGATATCGTGATGAGTGACTATATACGTGAAAATCTCTTATATATAGATATATAGATCAAGTCAAATATATGTGATAATTAGCAGTCTTAAATGTCTTGTGGTCGATTTCCACCCCCGTGATGAGCATCATGATTTGTTCCGTGTACATTATATTTAAGTATGTTTATCAGCAATCTGATTACCATAGTACAGGCTCTGCCTAGTTTGGGAACAGACGGCCGTGTGTAAAGATGATTGGTTTCAAATTTCTTTGACCCCATGTTGCAATTCTTTATTATTTTTCATGTAGCTTTGGGAATGATGTACCACAATTAGTCTCTATAACACCTTTTGAAAAAGGTTGGTCAAATTAAAGAGTTTTTCTGGTAAATTTAAGACGCAAATCTTGTATAACTCAATCAAGTGAAAAGTCCAGAAATTAGTGCAGTTTATCTAAGGCGAGGAAGTGTTTGAACTGTCTGTACCTCTCAATTGGAGTTCCTTTTCCACTTAAAAGGTATAAATAGATTCAGTTAACAACTAGGATACTCTTGGCTTTTTTATCTGAAGTTAATTGTAAGTCAGATTATGAATTAACACAACATGTGATCGTCGGATCAACTCTTGGTAAGTGACTATCTGTACTTCTAACTAATTATTTGTAACGTGTTGTAGGTTGTGACTAGCAGTGGACTGCGATAGGCTGATGATGTTATTAGACGTTGGGGTTCCCACCAAAATCGTAAGTGGCATAAAGACTTAGTCAATTAATTTACTTCATTAATTAGTATGTCTTTTATCTTAGGCCTGGGGGTGACAGGTGAGGCCATCTGTCACCCTAGCAGAAGCAGGCTGGGGTGGCGGCGAGCGCGTTGCGAAGCGCGCTCGCTTCCAGGGAGCACAGGGATCATGGGGTTCCCACACGGGGGGGGGGTCGTCTACTCGTCTGTAGATGACCCGAGGTTTGTCGGGGCACCAGGGACTTCCTTTCTAGGGTATACCTGGTTCCCCGGCTATTAGTACCCGAGACGGCGTGCGGTTTTAGTCCGACATGCCACCGACAGGTGGTATATGAAAAAAAAAAAAAAAAAAAAAGTATGTCTTTTATCTTATTAGATTTAAGAATGTGTTGAAATGGATATGTCAATTCCATTGACGTATCGACTTGGATAAAAGTCCCACTTAAAAAAAAGAATGAAAAGATACTAATTCCTAAACTACTAAATTACTCGTTGGATGCTTGCCCCCATTAAACGTAAGTGGAAATATATTTAGATTACCTCTTTTTAGAATGTAAACGTGAGTTTTCGTGTATAATAATAAGGTAGGTGTCTTGCAGAAAGTTCGGGACTCGGTGAACTATGAAAGCCTGTTGAAACAGGCGAAACCTTCCAAATTCTTATTACGATTGCGTACAAACATTAATGTAAACATTTGTATGAAATGTCCAAATGGTCGACTTGGTTAGGTACCACTCATTTAAATTCCGTCCATATTTTAATTATTTGTATTCATTAAATTTAAATGTGTACTTAGTATAAGGAAAATGAATATCCAACCATTAAAGGTTAAAACAATTAATTTTAGTTATGCGGTTCTTGCAGTTCATAATGTTTATAGTTTTACTGAATATTCTTCAATATTTTGCTTAGAAATTAAAGTGCAGTATTATTGGGGCTGAGGTCACACAGATCGACCAACCTTAAGTTCTAAGCTTGGTGTTCCTGTGACGTGACTAAAGGGAACATGTATGGTATATGGTTATGCATTTCAGTCGTGACTGATGAATTGCAGAAAATAGTTGAGATTATGCAGGTGCTAAGATGCCATAGATGCCAGTAGGCCAAAATCTCCTTTCCAAGGAGAGGCCTACTATATGAACTATTGAACTATTAAAGGCTGTTGATAATGATGATGAAATATGGAAAGTTTGATAGGGTTACACTTATATATGTAGGGTAGGATAGGGTTACTTACTGTAAATAGCTCCAGTCACGACCACAACAATGACAGTCATGAGGTTGAGCGCTGTAAACACGTTGTTTAGCTTCGTGGACTCTTTCACACCAATACCCAGCAACACTGCAGCATAAGACATAAAACAAGTGCTGTACTATCTCATTTAAACAAGTTTTTTTCTATTTATTTAGTGAGCTATGCCTAAATATGTTCTTAAACTCTAAGTACACTATGTAGTCCTATAATACAATAATACTTGAAGTCTATTAACTGTTTCTAGCAAATATATATAATTTACACAATTACTGGATCTGTGCGATATTGGAAAAGCTAAAATACTTTTAAGTGCTCAATTATTCACAATTCCAAAGCTAGTAAGCCTTGTTCCGAACACTCAATTAGGTGGTGAAATGTCCAATAAGGTTCTAAGTGGTGGCAAGAAGTGGCACAACCTTGTTCAATCTACAAGTTAATATAATTTGAATATTTAAAAAACAATATCGTATAAAGGTTTTAGATATTGGTTATCAAAAAGGTCGACAAGCAAAAGGCGAATATTTTAAAGCAAAATGTTATTTTAATAAACTTAAATAGTGTAAATATGAATACAAAATTATTAACTATTTTGAACTCATTTTTACTTAGGGATCTTTACTTTTTTTTTCAGGTTGACAACAAAAATAAGAACCGGTTTATAGTGTTATATACCGATTTATGGGATGAACGGAACCGGTATCGGTATAACAGTATTCATAAAATTTACATATATTATCAACTCTAATAAAATTTTAAAATAAAACGTCACCGACGTTTGTACTCTTAGAATATTGTCTTCAAATTTAAAGCATATCATATAATACTAGTTCTGTTTCACGTATTTTACTTACCCGTAATAACAGCCACAAGTCCAAAAGCAAAGAAGTCTGGGTATTCAGCAAGAAATGAAACGCTGATCGGCGCGACTTCCTTCATCTTGTTTTCCATAGTTTTATTGCACAGACTGTCTATATACAAAGCCATGCCTTTGGCGACGCTGGCAGTGCCTATCACGTACTCCAAGATAAGGTTCCAACCGATGGTAAAGGCGATGAACTCGCCTACACTGATGTAGCTGTAGACATACGCTGAACCGGCTTTTGGGACGCGAGCGGCGAATTCCGCGTAGCAGAGTCCTGAAAAAAAAGATGATTCAAATGTTGAATATTTATTAGGTTCGAAACTTGCAGCCGTAAACGGCAAATTGGGAAGCTTATTTGTTAATAATGTATCTTTCTTCCGTGTGGTGACGGATTAAGAATACGCAGTGTCACCACCCATAATTATTCCGTGGGTGTCGTAGCCGACTAAGGAAGAAAACTACGCAGGACAACAGCACTGCAAAGAGAAGGAAAACTTGACACAAACCCTATACCAACCCGTCTGACCAGTCCGTCCGTCAGACCCGTCTGGTGTAGTAGGTCAAAACCTAAGGCCTATGTCCAGCAGTGGACTAATGGCTGTTGATGTGTGATGTGATGTATCTTTCTTGAGAGCACGCTTCCCCGGCTTTCTTTTCAAGAAATCAACCCCAGAGATTGCAGGCAAGTAATCCGAAAGATGTAATACACAAAAAAAAATTGCAAAAATTTCCACTGGTATTTATGTATCATCTAGCATCTAGCATAAGATTATTTATCCAATATACTAAGTGTAAAAAAATATATATTTGTAAATAGTTACCTATTTAAATTATTTTAAAATATGTTATAGGTAATACTTACATCTAAAACTTTTAATACTTTAGAATCACGTATACATTTAATTATTAGAAATATCATTAAAAAAATATAATTATTAAATACATATTGATTGCAATTAAGATAGTAAGCAGGGGGAACCCTTGAAGAAACAGAAAAAACCCAAGATTCCAAATTAACAACAATTTTGATAAAATTAATGACATCCATTCGTCATAACTCATTTTTGGTAATTAACTAAAAAATAAAATACAAAAAATAGAAACGTTAAAAAAACAAGTGAAATTTGTGACCACGAGGCGTGACGTCCGGTTTAACCTGTCAGCTAAGTTGGGATGATGATTGCATTGTTGTTCTAAGCTATTGCAATGATAATTCCATATTCAGAAGGCTACGCGTCATGGTCACACACTCACGCCTCAACCACTGAACCGAAAACTCTTCCACCAATGGAGAGCTACATTGTCAGCGAGTATCATAGGCCACATTTTACCGCGTCAACCGACATTCACGCGGGTGGAGTCGAAGGCAATAGCTAGTATACATATTAGAGTGGCAATTCTCCTTGTTTAGGGATAGGGATTTACTGCAATGAGCTACTCCATAATCATGGCCTTAATATAAACTATGTAAAACAAAGAACTCTTTCTCATATCATTTTAATGAAAGAATCGAGCGTCTTTTAAGAAAAGCTACACCCATTTAATGGTAAATATTTCAAATGAAAATGTTTGTAAAAACAGTACGGAAAAGTATAAAGATAGGTTCAAAAATCTCTATGTCCAAATTGAGTGAGTGGGTGCGACAGAGGACAGAAGGAAGATTATCACAGAATTGAGTGTTGTTCAGTTGTTCCGTTTCTTAAAACCGAAAAAAAAATGTTTTGGTGGTTTTGTGAAAAAGATTAGTAAAAGAAAAATTCGATCTAATGAAAAGGGAAAGTTTCTAATTATTTACAACTAGAAAACAGTTCTGGCTACTATCGTTACTTGGAACTGGTCCACTCCGTATTAAGTTTTTAGAATCAGTACACACCTCGAATTACAACTTTCAAATGTTAAACCAGTATCCTGTACATTGCATCAAAAGCAGCTATTCCTGAGTTTATTTAATCACAAGCCGATTCACTATATAATAAGTTTGAAATATGTTTTAATCTGGTTTTGCTTGTGCTAGATTAATAGTTTAAGAAATTACAGAAAATAAGTCACTGTGGGTTGAATAATTTTCTTTCAAATCCCCGATACAAAAAGGATGGGTGTAGTAAGTTTCATATTTGTATCCATTTGTGTGTATATTATATTTTTTCTTTTAAAAAACAACTCCCGCTTTAGGAATATATACTGTGTCGCGGGGGCTTAAGTATACATGAAACGGACACAACGAACACCCAGACTCAGAACAAAAATTAGTGGATCACACAAAATGTTGTTCCATGTGGGGATCGAACCCACAACACTCTCTTCTTTGTATCTGTATGGACTCATAGCTAGATTATGTTAATTTATGTTTGAAAGGCGACTTGATTAAGTTTATTCTCGGTTATGATTTGAGAACATGTTTTCGAGATTTCGAAAATTATATTTTTTTTCTAATCGGTTAAGGGAAGTTGAGTCGATTATTTATTTTTATTAATATGTCAGTATTATAGTCATATACAAGTATATCTATCAGCAGTTTGGTTACCTAGTTGGCAAGATATTTTTATTATCTTTATATATATAATTCTTCTGTGAGTGTGTATGTCACTGAACTTCTCTCAAACGACTGGACCGATTTTGATGAAATTTTTTGTGTGTGTTCAAGGGGATCTGGGAATGGTTTAGATTCACAATTTTGTCCGCTGGACAATGTTTTTTTAATTAATTTTTAATTTATTCGTAGTTGTTGATTTTGGAATGTTTTACATTGGATCCGACAGACGGCGCTACCATCGCAGTGTCAAATTTGACAGGACAACGTCTGTCGGGTCCGCTAGTTATTTCATATATATATATTTCATATATACATATATATTATTTCATATATATATATATATGAAATAATAATATTTTTTTTTTATTTACACATCACACAGTCGGCTGTCTGATTCCAAACTAGGCAGAGCCCGTACTATGGTAACCACGACTGCTGATAAACATACTTATATATTTCTAAATATATACATATTTTAGGTAAATTACACCCAGACACAGAACAAATCATCGTGCTCATCGCACAATTATTTGTCCTGAGTGGGAATCGAACACTAGACCAACAGGCCCGTCTAGTATTAACCGTCTATTATTATTAACTTAGAAAGCTGTTATTATATTATTTAAATATTTTAAAGATACACTAAATCTTTTATGTTTCTTTCTGATGTTTGTAACTTTTAATAAATGTAAGTGTAAAATAATTACACGGCAATTTATTCTTTGTGGTACCTACAGAAGACATACCCTTTTATAGTATATTTCAAAGTAATGGTAAACAACCTTCATCTAAAATAATTTGAGGAAGTGTTTGAGCAATATAAATATGTTATGACATGATACAAATTTAGGTCATTTTTAGGGTTCTGTACCTCAAAAGATAAAAACCCTTATAAGATCATTTTCTTGTCCGTCTGTCCGTGTGTCACCACCGATTTTCTCAGGAACGGGTAGACCTAGCTAGTTGATATTTATATTAGATATTAAGGTCTATGGTCCCTATTAGGTGTATAAAAATTAAGGTCCTGAGTAAACACGATAAAAAGATATGGGCAAATTTCAATTTTCGTAATCTACTTAAAAAATCTAAAATGTACGTAAAATCTGGGTAGGTACGGAAGCCTCGGCCCACGAGTTCGACTCGTACCTGACCGGTTTTTTTGTCAATCATCAAGCTCGTACAATAGGACGAAGGCCTTGGAAAGGGACGGTGAGACCGTTCTCTGTTGCGTATACGTTTATTTCTTTAATAGTCTTACGTCGTTGCGTCATTTGTTTTGATTACTTTTAGTTGTAGCGTTCAAGTGTTGTATGAAAAGTATAATGAATGTAGTTTATAGTAAAGAAAAGGAATACTTGACACAAACCCTATACCAACCCGTCTGGCCAGTGTGGTATAGTAGAACAATACCTCTTTTCTAAGGAGAGGCCTATGTCCAGCAGTGGACTGTTAAAGGCTGTGTATTAGTATTTCTTTAAGTAACTAACAACCAAAACGCTTAAATGCTATACTACATTGGATCAGATATACAGACCACAGATCATTATACAAAACAATACATTAAATTATTTATCTAAATTACAAATAACTAATAATTAATAATTCACAGCCACAAAAGTCAATGCAATAAAATCTAATGAATTAAAGAATTAAAGCAATAAGATGTCATAAAAATTAGCAAGATGTCAATAAATATGATGTGATGAGGAATTGAACAGGACAGAGGCATAAGCAAGCGATCTGGGCTTCTGCAAGCTACTTAAGATACTGCGATCTTAGTTTCGTTTCCTCATCCGATCATTATCCTTTACCCTAGGCCCTATTCATTTTCTAACCCTGGTTTGCCTACTGCCTTTGTCCCGTTTGGTAACGCTAACATTCCCGAGGAGGTTTGGCGTTAATCAGACTGATGGCCCTAACAGAGAGCAGTCAAAACTCTTCGTATTGTCACACATTACGCCAACCCCGAAATAATAATAAGAACTTGTCACATCTCACAAACGTCAGCCTGCTCCCAAACTAGGCAGAGCCTGTCCTATGGTAACCAGACTGCTGATAAACATACTTATATATTACTAAATACATACTAAATATTATTGATAAATTCACTCAAACACAGAAGAAATGATCGTGATCACCACATGGTTATTTGTCATGGGTGGGAATCGAACCCACGACTTCTGGCTTAGCAGTCAGGGTAACTAACCAACACATAAATTATAGTAAACTAATTTTTTTTAATTGGTGACTACTGTTGTTTTGCGGAATCACAAGCATTCTAGACAATTATCGACAAATACTTATTAAATACAAAAACTTATGTAGGTATTCATTAAAAAAATATATAACACATAAATGCCTAGCCGAGATAAATAAATGCACATATTTAAGTAAAACGCCTTCATAATTTACTGTGGAATAAATATATATAATATATATATTTTCCACAGTAAATTATGTAATGTAATGTAAACATATATATATATATATATGATATACATCGTTACATAAAAGGATTAGTCAATTGTTATGAGAGCGTTGTGCTTATCCGAAGCACAAAGTGATTTAGCTTGAATAGAAATACGTTTAAAGTATATCATCACATCAACAGCCTTTAATAGTCCACTGCTGGACATAAGCCTCTCCTTAGGAAATAGGTTTTGGCCTACTATACCATGCTGGCCAGACGGGTTGGTATAGGGTTTGTGTCAAGTTTTCCTTCTCTCTGCAGTGCTGTTGTTCTGCGTAGTTTTCTCCCTTAGTCGACTCTTACGACACCCATGGGGTGGTGACACTCTGTATTCTTCACCCGTCACATTATATGTAGGTATGTGTTGATATTAATCTACTTCTATTGTCGTTTTAACATGAAATTTTCTTGTGAGTTAGGATTGTACTGATTGTGTAACCTAAAGTGGGTTCAAACAGCGGGATAGCGACGCAGCGTGAGTGGTCAAATTTACGGCGCTGTGTGACACTACTAAATTACAACCAAATCACGTCTGCCGTCTGCATTAACCAGAAAGATCTTCGTTTTATAATTTACTTTAGACAAAATATAGACAAAAAGAAAAAAGTCATAGTCAAGAGATAACTTAAGAGATAATAAAAACCTCTGTATCACCAGCAAGTGGTAAAAAAAACAGAAGACTTACCAGCGAACGCTGAGGCTATAGCAGCTACCAGGAAACTGATGGTGACAGCAGGCCCTGCCACAGTCTTCGCTACAGCTCCTGCCAGAACATACACTCCTAACCCAAGGGTGCTGCCTATACCTAATCCTGTAAGGTCTATCAGGCCGAGACAACGCGCCAGTGGAGTTGAATTGTCATCTTTAAATTCCTTGCATCGTCGAAACGCTGAGATTAATTTGACGATGCCCATCTGAAACAGAAGTAGAGATTCGATTAATGTTGAATCCACTAGTCACCATTATTTTATGAAAAATCTAAGTTTCAAAAAACCTAACAATAGAACATATGCTTATTTTGGAGCTAGATAGAGCTATAATGATATGTTCAATCACTATCATCATAGTTAAAGTTCATCAACAGCCTATGATAGTCCACTGCTGGACATAGGCCTCTCCTTAGAAAGGAGGTTTTGGCCTACTATACCACGCTGGCCAGACGGGTTGGTATAGGGTTTGTTTCAAGTTTTCCTTCTCTTAGCAGTGCTGTTGTCCTGCTTAGTTTGCTCCCTTAGTCGGCTCTTACGACACCCACGGGATGAATTGGGGTGGTGACAATTTGTATTCTTAATCCGTCACCACACGGACTAGTTAAAGTTGGGATGGGATTAATCCCTCCCACACGCCCACTATTGCAACTCCTGTACCTACACTAGGATGAACAGCAGTAACCCACGAACACACCGAATTTAGACACTCAAGAAGTCCCAAGAAAAGCTGAATTGTTTTGGAACCCGGAACAAAATTAATCAGAAGTAAATTGGAGGAGTTGGAAATATCACAGCTATAGTCGGGATGAGGGGATTAGGATTTACATTATTATGTTACTGACTTTCCTTCTTAAGTTACAGTAAGTAGTAAGGAGTAAGATAGAACGTCGTGTGTTTAGTCGGTTCGAATTAAGTTTTTTTGCTATACCTTACCACTCATGGTGGTTTTAAAACTTCCAGAAATACATTGGCTACGTTTGTTTATTTTTTACCATGGTGGGTGATGAATCATTATTTTTTTTAATTAAGTTTTTTTTTTATTTAACAGTATCGTGAGAAATGTATGTTTTTCATGTTATAATTAACATTAATGTGAAATCCCACACTTAAGATTATAATTTAGAGAAATAATTCCATTGTTTCAAACACAACACGTATTAATAATTGGTTTAATTACATCAACTCATCAGATAATAAAAATATAATCAACTTCAATACAACCGAACCATGACACTTGAAAAAAAATCGGTCAGGTACGAGTCAAACTCGTGCGCCGAGGGTTCCGTACCTACCCAGATTTTATTTAGATTTTCGCGAAAATTTGTAAGTACCAAAATTTATCTTAATTTTCAACTTTTTTTAGTTTTTGGAATTATTACTTTATTTGTGCTGTAAGACGTTTCTTTTTGCCAAATTTCGTGATTCTAGGTCAACGGGAACTACCATATAGGTTTTCGACCCAAAACCTATAGAGTACTTCCGGTTGACCTAGAATTGTCAATTTTGGTTAAAAGCAAGATCTTACAGCTAAAGTAAAGAGAAGATTCTGAAAAATAAAAAAAGTTGAAAATTAGGGTAAATTTCGGTACTTACAAGTTTTCGCGAAAATCGAAATTTGCCCATATTTTTTTATCGTGTTGACTCTGGACCTTGATTTTTATACACCTAATAGGGACCATAAACCTCAGTATCTGGTATAAATTTCAACTTGCTAGGCCTACCCGTTCCTGAGAAAATCGGTGGTGACACACGGACAGACGGACAGACAGACAGATAGACGGACAAGAAAGTGATCTGGGTTCCTTTTTTACCTTTTGAGGTACGGAACCCCAAAAATGACCAATAAAGTAAATCAATTTATATGTACACCTGTATTGAGCCATTTACTATTAAAAAGAAAATAATGCTTACCGTGTGAAAACGGAGGAATATTTTCAAAACATGTTTTGTTTATTTTTTTATTTCGTGTGCATTATGAGATGAGTACTGATGTTGGACTTTCAACTTGGAACTTTCATTCGTGTGGCAGTCGTCCGACTGCCGCGTCACTGCCACACGAATGAAAGTTGTATATTTACATGCCCACGCACACATAGGGCCGCGCGCACAACTGAGTTGTACTATCTATAATGGACTGTAGCAGAATATTAAGCGAGGTATTATAATATAAATATGGTGAAAGCTGCAAGGGACTGATAACAAAGTGAAGATTTGGACTTCTTAGTTAACAAGCAAACAATTAATGGATATTAACATTTGTGTGCATGAAAATTTAATGTTTGATTTAGTCTGGGTGTTCTGTGTATAATATGTATGTATTTACCAAAAAAAATATACATGTATTTATATCAGTATGTAGTATCCATAGTACAGCTTTGCTTAGTTTGGGACTAGATGGCGTTGTGTGAATGTAATAGAATCCGATTATATTATTATTATCATTATATGAAGAATCTGTACCAAGAATCAGAACTCCCACTTCGATAGCCGCCACGAGGTCTCGCCTCTGCTCAACCCACGCCGGGCACTCTGCCAGCGTGTGGAGAGCCGTGTCCACGGTCTGGCCATCGCAGTGGTGGCACTCAGGTGTTGGCTCCTTGCGGATCAGACACAGGTGATCCCCGAAACATCCCTTCCCAGTGATCACCTGCGTCAATCGGTATGAGAGGGTCCCGTGACGCCTCTCGACCCAATCCTCCATAACGGGTCTTACCGCCGCGATGACGGCGTGCCCGAATATAAATTCCCCTGAGAATTCTTTTGAGGTGTCTAATAGAAATACACCTAACGCTCTTTCCCAAAAATAAGCTTAATTTATCGAAAATATATAGCAACCGATAATGTGTCAATGAAAATTATACTGCAGAATACAGCCTCTCCTTTTCTTTAAAAGGTATAACTGTAACCTTGAATCACAGAGTGAACAATAGTGACATACTCTATAAGAATATTTAAGAGGTAACTAACTACCGTTATGTTAAATGTGTATCGCTCATGTGTGTCTTTTAAGTACAACTGGATCATAGTCGACTGCACGGATGGCGTAGTGGTTAAAGCGGTCCACCTGCCGCTTTCCACATGGGACAACACTTCGTGTGATCCACAAATTTTTGTTCTGAGTCTGGATGTTCTTTGTGTTGTTTAATGAATGTTTGTAAAGTTTCCCGCAACTTTATATTTATTTAGTGCGGGAAATGTCTTTTAAAAGAAATAGTCGATTACTTTTCGCCTGCTTTTATTATTATTGTATAAAGTGCATCCGAAAATTTAATATCTTGTGTGATTACTAAATAATTATCCCAACTGTTGATATTTGCCGTGATAGTGTTGTTGTTTTGAACAATAAAATTGTAAGTCGTGAATTCGTTCGTCGCGTTATGGGAAAATGTTTCAGTGTATTTTTATTTTCGGCTGAAGTTATAGGAATAATAATAAATAATAATATAATAATATTGTACCACATTCACACAACGCCATCTAGTCCCAAACTAAGCAGAGCTTGTACTATGGGTACTAGACAACTGATATAAATACATATATACTTTTTTTTTGTAAATACATACTTATTATACATAGAAACACCCAGACCAAATCAAACATTAAATGTTCATGCACACAAATGTTTGACTTGAGCGGGAATCGAACCCGCGACCTTTGCAATAGCAGTCCGTTACACAAACCACTACGCCATTCGGTCGTCCAATCCAATTAATGAATACCACGCGTCGTGAACATAACAGACATTGTGTCATAATTAATATTTATGTTCATAACTATATAATATACTAACACATTGGGCCCAGTTGCCACCTAATAAAAGTTTATTATATACTAGCTGAGACCGCGGTGTTACCCGCGTTTGTTGTTATAACCGCGGGCAACGCCGCGGGGCGAAGCTAGTCTAAAAAAAGTAGCCTAAGTTACTGCTTATGTCATCAGCTATCTGTCGGTGAAAACCCCCTCGAAATCGGTCAAGCCGTTCCAGAGATTACCAGGAACAAACAGACAGACAGACAAAAATTGTAAAAAATGTTATTTTGGCATATGTACCGTGTAAACATACATATGCATTTAGTAAACAGCGGTTATTTTAATATTACAAACAGACACTTCAATTTTATTTATTTGTATAGATTATTATTATAAACGTTATTAGGGAATTAAATTTCTGTATACCAATATTACGTTGTGAGTTTTTATTTAATAATGTTAAATAAAAACATTAATTTACATTTTATGTAAATATATTAATAAATAAAACAAACGAGTTAGTTGCAGTTTCATTTCTCGGATATTTAAATGAAAATGTATTTTGTATACATTGTGTATGTGCTGCTGTGACTAAAAACCAGGTGAAACTAAGATAAACCACTAGTTGTAAATATTTAAGTATTTATGTATTTTATTAATACTTTTTTATATTTATTAATAAATAAATATCACACATTGTATAAAGTCAGGCCAGTCCAATCATAGGCTGTGTAATAAAATCCAAATATAAATGTTTTTTTAGTTTATTTTATTTTATCTTAGTTTATCTTTACATAGTATAAAACTTTTGTACGCTTAGATCTTTCAAACTACGCAACGGATTTTTAATAGGTTCACTAATAGTATAGGTTTATATGTATAATATATACATATTATAGTGGAGTAAAAGAGAATTTCAAAGATTTGTAATTGTATTAGTAAATATATATATGTGTTTTTGAAGTGATAGCTTCTTATTGGAGGGTAAACCGCTTCGTTACGTAACGCGTTACTGCGCCAGTCTGTATGATTTCTCTTTTTCTCACGCATACGGCAGCGGTAGGTAGGCTCCTCCTCTCTCTCTCTAACCACAGCGCTAGCCGTATATCGGACAGACGCTTTATATAAAATTTAAGTAATAACCTAAGCTTTTCTCAAGTGAAACAATTTCACTATTAAATAGTTCAACTTAGATTAGTTTAAGTTATCACTTCTGTCGGGCGTCCCCCCTTTTATGGCAACTCCTGCATTAGGAAAATATCCTGTGTCGCGGGGGACTTTACAAACATACATGACGGATATAAAGAACACCCAGACTCAGAACAACAATTTGTGGATCACACAAAGGGTCATCCCATGTGGGGGTCGGACCTATCACTCAGCGTAGAAGTAAGCGGCGTGGCGACCGCTTAAACCACTACGCCGTCTGTGCAGTCAAGTATATCACATCAACA